GAAAAGGAAAATAAGACTGAAAGAGAAAAATTGGAGGGATTTACGAGCAGGTGTGGCACTTAACTTGATACAGTTTTGATTGTTTCTTATAAATGACATTTTAATGTAATAACCTTTAGAATGAAAAGATGATATACTGCCTGATCAGGAAACTCATTACAATCTAGATCAAGGGATTCTACTTTGATTTGCCAATCTGAAAAGAACCAGATAATTTTTTTCTAATCTACTCTATCACTGAAGCGTATTTATGCCATCTACAATCTTATTACTTTCCTGTAATTTAAGGATACTTTAGATCATGGAGATTTACCTTAAAGACTGGGGTCTTTTTTTTCAGATCTATAAAACCAAAGAAAGCCAGTCAGGCCGTTGTCAAAAAACAGCAAGTTTGAACTATTAAAATTACAATACAGTCAGAAGGGTGCTACACATTTTATTTATTAGGAAATAAAGACTCATGCTTTAGATATTTTAGATATTCTTCTAGAACAAAGGAAAAACATGAGGGTGGTTTGTTTGGTTTTTTTTAAGTTATTTTGATGAGAATATGCAGCTCGGAAGGAAATAGTTTTCAGCCTGACGGCAGTGCAAGGTTAATTGCTATTTTTATTTTTAAATAAAAAGCAAGTGTGTTCGTTCCACAACTGCAATCTCCTGACATTGATGACTAGTTTACCTAGAGACTCCTCTTAGTTGTCTGGCACTGGTGGAAGCTAACAAATGCCAGGAACTTTAACAAAGTGGAAACATTATTTTAGGTATTCAAAAGACTGCAAAATGCCTTTGAAAGTTTGCCTGCTGTCACAGCTGATTTGAAAATCTTAGTTTTCACAACGCCACAAGTTCTTAAAAACTACATTAATTTGACTAAACGTAAGAGCATAGATTTACAGCACGCTTGCTGTGTTCAGTCACATTATTATTTATATTTATTTCTGAAAGTAAGTCTTTTGTGGCTGTAAATAGGACATTTTCTAAAGAGGCTGAAGATCAATACATTTTCCACTTCCAGAAACAAAACCACTGTTCTGGTCAATGGTTCTATGTTTTGGGATCTTTTTTTTTTTAAAATCTAACTTATTTTCTATTTGCATAAATTCCACCCTTGGAATGTCATAGCAGTTGATTATTCATTATTTAAATTTACTTTGGAAACTGAACTCAAGGGGAATTATCTAATGCATGTCAGACTGAAAATGAGCTGTGAATCTCCGAAGTTAATTTTAGCCTCATGTGTTTTAAGAAAGCTTCAAGATTCAAGTTTTTAACTGCCTTTTAACATTAGGAACTACTTATTCATCAAAGTCCCTATATTAATTTAAATGTAAACCTCTTTAAAGCTAATATAAAAAACTGAAACTATAATCTTTAAAGTTTTATAAAAGCAGCTTCTCAGTTTTTCTCAAATACATTTAACCTTGGTAACTTGACAAGTGAATCTAAGTAAACAGTCATTTTTCCACATTTCAGCTGCTTCCAGCATTACATAAACTTCAACTTGAGCAGGAGGGAAAAACGAGGCAAGATTCTATTCAGTCTAATGAACAGCTGTGCAAGTTGGTTGTTTATTTAAAAAAAAAATATATATATATATACACACACAGAGTTTTCAAGAAGTTGATTATTGCAGACATGCCACAGAGCAGCCAGAAGTCATCGTGTCACCACTGGTAACCATTTGGTAAAACTATATTGCCTATGTTAAGCGAGTCAGACAAAAATGTGATAATTTCTAGACCATAATTCTAGAATCTTAACAAGTTCAGGAGATAATTTAATTAAAAGATTTGCATCCAGTTCTTACTGTTTTCAAAGCGACATAGATACTATCTGGAACCACACAGCTGGCCAGTAAAAGGAAATTTTCAGGGGAAGTAGCTTATATTAAATTTTATGTAGCTTGCCTTTAATAATAAAGCAACAATGCTTCACCAATTCTCTCAGACTTGAGAGATCAGAGGTTGTGCCTTGAAGTAGACTGTCACAAAGATACCTCAGGGTTCAACAGATGATTTTTGGACTTCAGCGGAGAAGCATGTAAGAGAGAATCATTTTCAAGAGTACTTCAACTTAGTAAAAAAAAGAATTCTCACTGCATCTGTTTTAATAGTCTTTTATCATAATTGCCCGCAAAACACTTGTCTTGTCAATCTTGGTTTAGATCAAAGAAGAATTAAACCCAGTTTTTTCTCTTAATATAGCTGCACTCACCCTTCATAGAGAGAGCAAAGCTCCCTCAAAACCCACTAGAGCAGCATGAATGGAATGCTGATTGTACTTTATTCTCCCTCAAGTACCTCTTTGAAACCCAGGAAAGGAAAAGTGGGCAAATAGGAAGTTTGTAGTGTAAATGACCCATTCTGCAAGTGGCATTCACTTGGTTGCTTGTAAAAAATAAGAATTTTATGCTGATTTCTCTATCTGAAAGCTCAATATTAGCTTGACTTAATGAGTTCCAATTTGTAGTTGAAACACATATCATCAGGAAATCTTTACAGTCCACATGGGCTTCATTGACACTGGTGATCTTCATCACTGCTCTAAAGAATTAATTACCTCTTCAGTTCCACAAAACTCTCAGAGGATGAAGGATGATTTTCCAAATAAAAGTTTTAAAATTATTCAGTACCTTCAGACAAAGATGAGATCCCAGGCAACAAGACCCAAGCTAGAAACAGTGATTTTTGTTAGACAACTCGGCATAAAGAACACTGCTGCCACATTGACCAAAAGCTTCTTGCAGAGGCTTTTTACTGACAGCGAAGTGTCTCTGGTGTGTGGGTGTAAACCTCCATCCGAGGACATTTTCCAAAAGGTTGGGTGTATATGAAAGAGAGGGACAGAGAAAAAAACCTCAAACATTAAAAACCATACTGTTAAGTTTTTTTGTTGGGTGCCTTAAATTCAAGCTCAGCAAATGCCAGGATGTGTTCCTCGTTTCAGAAGAGCTGCTGATACAGTTAAAATAACATTATAGCACCTTTTTTATTGAGAATATGCAACATAGTATTTCCACTTTAGCAAGCACAAAATTTGACAGGAATATATTCCTTCCAGAAATACTTCATCAACTTACGCAATCACTATTCAATCAAGGGAAAACAGTAACAAAAAGTGTAAAACTATCATATACTGTTTATATTCTTTAAAAAAACTTGGCACATGAAGGCATTCCTCTGCATACTTCAGAAAATGCTTGAACAGTTTCGACATATCACAACCAGGAATTTTTACAAGCTTTAAAAACCAGTAACAGAAGCAACACGGCAGGAGAGGGATGCTCATCCAGTGATCACATTCTGAACAAGTTCAAGTGACAGCTCACTGCACTAAGATAGACAAAGTAAATACTACGTATTATCACTGATCTAAACTTCTAGTCTCCATAAGTATCCTGTTAAGCTGTTTCTTTTCATAAGCATTCTTCTCCTCTTACTTCACTGTTTTTATCTTTCAACTGTTGTTTTATCCTAGTTGCATATGTAGTATAGCCTCTTTCTTTCCAAAGGAGAAAAGCTTTTATGTAAGAAAAGACTTAATATTTGTAAAGATTATTATTCAAATATTATCCCCACAATACGGAACAGTTTGAGAACTCAAAGATAACATTAATAGCCAGAAGTGTTTCTAATTACACCCAGTAACGCATTGTGAGAAATCCTGGTGTCAGCATTTTGACTCAAAATATCTTTGAAGAAATAACTTAGAATTTTTGCCTTCAATTCAACCACAAGGTAAAGACGACTCAGTTTAGCAAACAGCCAGAGACTTTTGTCCAAGAAACTAATTTTGGATGGCTGATCTAAGAACAAGAACCAGTGTATTTCACTGGGGGCTAGTTAAAGACACAATAAAATTTAAATTGGAAACCGTCTGAAGCCTTGTTGTCAGAGTCTAGTAAGGTCCTAAAATACTTCAAACATTACAGTCAGATTCCTCACCACTCCTGAAAATAACCACTCTCTGCCTTGAAGCACTTGCAAGAGCGAGACCTGCATGTGTAACACTGATGGCAGCTTCAGGAATAAGATAAAAAGAAATTGAAGTATTCCCTGTAGCGTGATCTCATCCCTTTTTGCCCTGTGACTGCGAAGGATCATTTCTGTACGGAACTCTGCACTCAAAATCATGTGATCTGTCCAAATATTTACACTGTTAACATTATTAGAACTGTCCTCTGAAGCCATTAAACACAGTATTTTCCAGCAAGTGAAACAAAACAGTTACTATTGAGATTATTATTTAGTTTTAACTGTTCTTATCAGGTAGAAGCTGACCTGACCGCTCTCCTTAACTGCTCTTTGTAACTCATGAAAGTCACACAGCTGTAGTTTTGGCTGAATATACTTTAAAATTCTAAATAGCTACTTCCTTTCTGTTTTCTAAAAGAAAAAAGGGAGAGAGAGGGAGAGAGAAAGAAGAGGGAACCTAATTAGGACTTTTTTTTTTGTTACTATTTGTAACATTAGCACACAAATCAGCAACCGTGCACCCTAAAGGTTTTTTGTTCATACCTCTGGCTACCCTAGCAGTCTTACCCCTCCCCCCACCCCCAAGTACCAACACTCAGAGAAGGCTTTATCCTCTCATTCAGGCTTATCCTTGCTTTCATGGCTTTCTCTATGCTCTCTAGTCCTGCAAACTCTATGCTGATGAAGATAACAGCCACAACAATCTCTTAATCAACGTAATTGACACTTTCGGCCATGCTAGAATAGATTGCTCCTAGTAATCAACTGGGAACTACATGTCAAGCTTACTTTTGCTCTAATTTTAAAATAGATCTATGAACTGTCTAAGCTAAGGGAGAAAAAGAAAACACTACCTAAAAAAAATAATCTGAGTAGAGAAGAAACCATCAAAACACATAACTTTCATATTTTGCTTATCATTTCAAATTCATATGCTCTACAGTACCTATCAAACAGAGCCCAGTAAGTACTTAGCAACAGAAGGAACTGTTAAGGAAGAAAAATATAGCAAAAATTAATACTTACAGCCATAATTAACTCAAAAGGGTGTTTATACACCCGTACAGGGGATTGATACTTCTGCACCATAGCTGCAGCTAGTAAGATCAACTCAAACCTGAAAAAGAAAATTTTAAAACCATCTGTGAAATGTAGGAAGCCATTTTCCACTTTTTCTTACAATTATTCTGTGTGTGAATTGTGCTAGCAATTCTACAGGAAATCCTTCACAATTCCTTGCCAACTTTTTATTTTTTTCTGGAACATGCAATGGAGCTCTGAAAAGCCATGTATATTTTTGTCAGAAATGATTTATTTCTTCCAAAGACGAGACAAAATTAGCACATTTTCAGTCCAGTTTTAGTAACAAACCTTCAACACACTTTATGACTCTTCCTCAGGATGGTGAGACTTCCTGTGCGGCTGCTGAGAACCAAACACTGACACATACCAGCTGAAGGCAGAAAAGCATTGCCCAGACCCCAGCACAGTAAGTGGGCTGCCTTACTCATAAGTTATTCAGAATTGGAATTGTTTAAAAAAAATAAATTTAAAAAAGATTGAAAAAGACTAAGTGTTTTCAGAAAGAAAGAAAAAAAGGATCACTACAGCACAATAATATAAGGCATTGTTTCATCATTTCCAAACCAAATTTAAGACTTTTGAAAGGGAAACTTAAGAGAAAGCTGGGGAGAAAAACTTAAGAGAAAGTACAAACAATCCAATATAGGGCCAGGAAATAAAACACTAGCAAACCAGTCAGGAGTTACTCCAATGGCTTTGTGTCTGCTTTCCCCAGCAAAGCACTCGACCCAAACTCTCTTGAATTAAATCATATTTATTGAAAAAAATACAGGCAGTAGCACTTGCAGACGAAACCGCGGGCTGCTAGCCAGGCTCGTTTTAGCGAGAAACGGTGTTATAATAACAAGTTAGTTTAACTTTTATTTTTTTAACGTGGTCTCACGTTATCTACAGTGCTTCTGGGGAGCGTTGCCAACTCCAGCCACGGAGCACGGCAGACGGGCAGTGCGGCTCCTCACACACGAGAAGCCGCCAAAGATAAACTCAGAGAGTCACAAGAAAGTTCACCCGACAGCTTCTCCAAGAGGAATTTACTCATGACTACCCTGCATTTTTAAAAAAAAAAACAACAACTTGAATCAGCAAAGAAAGCCACAAACCCTCTCTAATCCTCGGACAAAAAGAGTTACACAACAAAGAAACTCGAGGTTTCCTTTCTCCGCTCCCCGGACAGTGCTGCCTTTGCCCC